TGAGATATCCAGCCTTGAATTTGCTAATATTTCAATGCAGAAACTTGCTAATGTTCCCCCATGTACGTCATCGCGTGACCACGCCCACAACCGGAAGTGATTTTGACAAAATGGCTGCAAGGCAAGAAATTGCAACTTTTGACCCAAGATTTAGTATGGAAACAGTACTTTTTGATAATTTTACTTATTTTTCCTATGATTTTTTCTTTATTACCAACTTATTTCTACAAAAAAAGTTTTTGGGTTGAGTTACCCTTTAAGTAGTCTCGCCACGAGGGGCGTGGCGAGACTACCCTTTAAGGTATTACAAGTCTAATTCTACATTTTCATGGACTAACTAAAAATTTTAGAAGAATAAAAAATAACATACTTATGATTATTTTTTGGAAAATTAATCAATCTGTGCAGTTATTACAATTATAAAACCATACATACAAAATTAATACCGTAATTTGCCTTTTTTTCATACAAAAATTTTTCGTTTCAGAAAAATTCAAGTGGAAATATTTTCATCTTCTCATAGTGTACAAAAATTTTTAAAGTCTGAAAATTTAGCTTCTCTTGCATATACCGTATAGTGGGAAATTTTGGAGGGAATTAAATTTGGCGAATTTGGCGTTATGATAGCCATTCGCCAAAATTAAATCCGCCATTTTGAGCCATTATACGCATGCTCAATGGCACATGGCCACCAATTCGCCAAATTAAAATCCGCCAATCACCAAAATTTAGCAATTCGCCAAATTTTAGTCCCTCCAAAATTTTCCACTATATGGTACATGTACCTTGTCCTTTACCTACTGGTAACAAGGCCGCTGTAGTAGTGTTTATAATTCTTGAGATAAGAGATCCTTGACCTGGCTGTTCCCTGACATTACTAGTATACAGATAGTACTGGAGATGCAGCATGACCAATTTACGGATAATAAACGGAAACATTAAATGGCTACTTTTGTCACATGGTGGACCATTTTATTTTATAACTCAGTAGTGAAGCAACTGATTGAAGTACAGCAAGCACCAGTGGATAGAGCAAGGTTAGAGCTGCAAGAAGATACCTACTTATCAGGCCGTACCTTAGTCTTTCATTGATGAATTAGGTCACAAATTTTGGTTGCTTAAAAATTTTCGACTGAAATTTTTTCGTCATTTTAAGACCATACGAAAATATTTCCACAACGAAAAAAAGGCAAATTACGGTATATACAAAATTATAAAATATTTCATCATTTTGATGACAAAAATTTGGGGCTATTCAGTGTATAGACAAGAACATGCAGTAGAAGCCTATCATAATACATTCATTGCCATGATTATGATAACTACTACATCTGTACATGTACAACCATTTGAATGGGCGAGGATTTTAAAGCTAGGTTTAGAATATACGCTGTGATGTCATTATATTTAATGCAACACATAAGAGCAATGATAAGACCAGCCCATTTTTGGTTTTATGTTGCATAAATGTCAGTGATGTCACAGGTGAAGCTACGTATATCGTAAACCTATAGCTTTAGTTACAACTAAATGTACACATTATTGCACCTGTTATGTTTCTCTCATTGAAAACTGACAGTTACGAAGGGAATTGAATACAAGAAGATTTATGGTGCATTAATTACATGATACTCACATTATCTGCAGGGCTGCTTTGATCAGCTCCATCATTTAATAGCAACTCTACAATGTCATAATGTCCTCCCACTGCTGCTACAATAAGAGCAGTATATCCAGCCTATAATAACAAGATAACGATATCATAATAAACTCGTATTGCACCATAATTAGATAGTTGTGGGTGGCTTCAATCACTGCAGTGGTCTTCCTGGGTTAAAGTACATGTGGTACATGTACCTTTAATAACTAATTAATTCTTGCTGCATTAGAGCCTGCTTTCTCTATCAATAATATCTTGATAGTGATTGAACTGTTTGGTGAAAAGAATTTTTAAATTCTGTCACTTCCTCATTCCTCTACTGATAATATTAATGAAACTGAATACAAGGTTTGTTAATTGCATTTTAATGACCTGCATGGGACCCATGAGATGTACATGTATATACAAATATTATATACAATTATATCGAGACGGTGAAACAATTAGGAATATTTTAAAACTAATAGTACTTTTAATTAAGGCAACGGTTAGTACATAAATTTCTAATTATAAGATACATGTAGCTACATGTACATGTATCTATAACAATAATATTCTAATAATGATAAAATGAATATTAATCAAAATAACTTACATAATTTGAATGTGAAGGATCAGCTCTTTTCTTCAGCAGTAATTCTACAACATCACAGTTTCCTCCTCTTGCTGCTGCAATAAGAGCAGTATCTCCATCCTATAATAACAAGATAAGGATAGATTGGTCTCTAATGTTGTCATTGTTCCCAAAAGATAAATTTGTGTAGCATGTGGTTATTGCACATTGTACTCTGCGCGTAGTAGTTTAAACAAAAAACTAAGGGTGTATGCCTGGCCAGACACTGTTTGATTGTTACAGATTGTTGAGACAAGTTACAATAGTTAAAGGTTA